AGTCTGCCATTCATACACAATCATCTCCACCACCCTGGAGGAGGAGGTGGGCTGTGTGCATGGCCCTCCAAGGTGCACAGAAAGAAGTGATCGTTGAAGGCAGAGGGCCTGTGCAAGAGCGGCAGGGCTGGCCAGTGCCTTGTGTCTCCAAACACTGTACCATCTGCCATGCTGGTCAGAACCACTGTCTCTCTGGAAGGATGGTGTGGGGCTGAGTTCATGGATAAACCAGAGCACTGATTCTGTGAGCCTCTCCTGCCTTGAGAGTCCCTGCCAGCAGGACCTCAGCCAAATCACTGAGCTTCTCTGTGCTCCAGTGGCTGCCTCCTCGGATAATAACTTTGAATAATAGCAGGTGCAGACACATTGCTTACGCAGGTCTACGTAATACCTCTATCAGACTTCAGGGTGAGATGGTAGTAATTAGTATAGGAAGGAGGGCAGAATGTTTGAGAGAGTGACCTAGCCCAGCCCAGCCATAATGCTACCCAGAGCATAGGCATTGGAGCCGGAAGGCATCATGAGCCAGAGCACAGTGTGACAAGATAGGGTGGGGAGAGGAGAGGGGGGCCTTAGGTCACAAGGTAGGGGTGTAACCTTTATCCAGGAGGAGTCTGGTGGCTGCTCTCACCTTGCACCACCTCAGAGTGCTGGGACTTACTCACAATTGACTATTCCCCCCCCCCTTTTATACTTTTTCTCAAAAGTAGGAACTAGGGGGAACTGAAAAGGTGTCTTAACTGTTAAGAACTCTTGCTGCTCTTCCGGAAGAGTTCAGTTCCCAGCACTCACGCCAGGTGCATTTACACACACACACACACACACACACACACACACACACACACACACATTATTTCTTAAAGGGTTAAAAAAGGAATAGTAACTAGGTTTTATTGATGTCTATCTGGTGCTAAATATAGAATCAGGCACAGACAGATATCAAAATGTTCACTGGCCAAGTAAAATAGCATTTAACATGCCATGTTCAATTAGTGCCTACAGGGTCCACAATGCAGGCAATTCTATATATTAAGAAAATAATGTGGTCATTAGTAGACATTCTGTGTTCTCAAAAACTAGAAACTCGGAGCTTTGGGGGACATCAGACTACTCACAAGACATGCCAGTCTGTAACAGTGCATAGTTCAGGCAATAATAACAGCTCCTGTAAGAACAACAGCAGTTAATGCAGTGTGATACGTGTTAAAATTAAAAACAAAGAAGAAATACAACAGTAACTTCAGAGCCCAAATCATCATGATGTTTTGAAAACCAAAAGGGTGGTGTGTGTGGAATGACCCCACCCTCTGTGGATTTGTGTATGCTTGGTTTTTGAAGCTGGATCTAATCCTGTAGCCCAGGCTGGCTTTGAACTCACTATATGGCCCAGGCTGGCCTCAAACTCACAATGGTCTTGCCAGCTCGCCCTTCCATGTGTGGGGATGGCAAACACGAGCCACTACACTCTGCCCTAAGTGGGACAGCCATGTCATACCCTCCCCTCAAACCTCAGGGTTCATCCCAGAAAAGGGGGACAGAACAATTCCACGAGCAGGAAGGAGAAGACGTCTGCAGCAAAATAGTATTTGCCAGATACGACACCACAATTACAGACATGAACTTGCAGCAGCCATGACCACATGCGCAAGACCAACATAAGATCAAGCCAGCTAGAATCCTAGCTTGGATGGGGGAGGAGCTCATGAAGTGCCACCCCTATCTATGGAACGATTGGCAACTGATAGCTCCTGGGGGGGGGCGTGGAAAGTCAGTGTTCTTCAGGGATATAGGACCTAAGAAGTGACCCATGCTCCGTCAATGATTCTGCCCATGCACATATAGGCAGTCCTAAGTATATTTGGTGGCTTAAAAAAAAAGCCCATGAAATTAAGAGAAGAGAGTGGTAGTGGAGAAAGTGGGTATTGGAGGGAAATAAATGAGCAATGGATTTGACTAAAATATATTATACGCATATATGTGTAGCTAGAGTTTTCCTGCCTGGCCCACAGTCAGGACAAATCTCTCTCACCCTCCAGTCCCACAGCCGCTTAGACCTGACCAAGTAAACACAGAGACTTACATTGCTTACAAACTGTATGGCCGTGGCAGGCTTCTTGCTAACTGTTCTTATATCTTAAATTAATCCATTTCTATAAATCTATACCTTGTCATGTGGCTCATGGCTTACTGGCATCTTCATATGCGGCTTGTCATGGTGGTGGCTGGCAGTGACTCCCTCCGCCTTCCTGTTCCCTTAATTCTCCTCTCTGTTAGTCCCACCTATACTTCCTGCCTAGCCACTGGCCAATCAGTGTTTTATTTATTGGCCAATCAGTAATTTGACATACAGACTATCCCACGGCATATATGGAATTCTCAAACAATTTTCTCTGAAACGGTGGACGGTGAGGGAAGGTGGCTGGAGAAGGACTGAGGCGGGGGTGGGGGGAGGGCTGAGGTTGGCAGGTTGAAGAAATGTGGACAAGTCACAGGACCGGGTAGCAGAGCAGCTGTAAAGCTTTGCCAGGTGGACAGCTTTATACAGCTTTTGCCTGGGGTTCGGGAAAACCTTTTGAAACTCTGTGTGACCACAACGGAGTCAAGGAGGCACCGAGCTAGAGACAGGTGGGCATGCAGTGTGGCATACTATGCTCGGTTGTCGGGGCACTTTGCATCCCACCGCTGGTGCTTGGTGGAGCAGAATTATTTGTGTGAACCAAGGAAACATCTGCGTTTTATTGACATGGCTCCTTGTGTGCCTTAGAGGAGCAAATCCACCTCGGAAGCATGTTCGGAAGAACAAATGATGTGGTCAGCTCTCTATAGCTTTAGGTTCTGCACCTGCAGTTTGATGAGCCACAGATCTAAAATACTGGGGCATGGGGGTGGGGCGAGCATCATACCTATGCCAAATATGTGTAGACCTTTTCTTGTCATTATGCAATACATTACACCAACTAGTGGCATAACATTATGTCTTATTGAGCACCATAAGTTATCTAGAACAATAGAAAGTATACAGAAGGATATGGGAAGATTAAGTGTAAATGCTATGCCATTTTATGTGACTTGAGCATCCAAGGACTTTAATGCCCAGAGAGGGTCTTGAACCAATCCCGTGTGGGTGATATGCCTAACTTTCAAATCAAGGATGCCAACTTGAAATTGAGAAAGGTAACAGTCATGACCCCTGTGTGAGTTGTGAACTATCTTTGCCTTTACCCATGAGTCCCATGAGAACCCACCTCATAATGAAAGTTTGGAAGAAAAACATATGGAGTAGGATGTCACTAATCAAGAGGGGAAAAAATATGTGTGACATCCCTTCCCCCATCATGACTAGCTAGATGCCTCCAGTCATACACCTGGACTTGGAATCAGAGAAGAGCATCCCTCACCTGCCTGAAATAGCACTTCCTGAGTGCCACTGCCTGAACCCTAAGGCTACCTGGTCCCCTTGCGGAAGGGGAGGGCTCTTCTCAGGGTAATTCTGTGGACATTGGGCAAGAGATCAGATTCCTTAGAATCAGAATCAATTAGACACTGATTCAGTGCAGGAGTTTGTGTTCCCCAGTGGGGAAGGGTCCAAGACCTGGGAATTTTGCCAGCTCTTGACATAACTGGGAAGGGACACCTGCCTCTGTATTCATGTTCCTCTCCCTTCTGCAACACCATCCCTGGCCTGAGATCACACACATCCCCAACACACACTCTTCAGCAGACTGTTCTTCCCTAGGCCACTTGTACTAAGCATGGCCTACCCGCCCCTCCCGCTTTGATTTTACCTGCTCCACAGATAGTGTGGTAGAAAGGAACACAGTTTCCAAAAGCAAATGGAAATGGCTTGAATCCACTCTACCCCTCACCAGCTCAATCTCCATAGCAGCCAACTGTTGCTTCGCTCGACCATCTCCTCACCTGGAGAGTGGTCACAGACTTCTTCCCACGATTGAGAGAATAATAAAGCACATTTTACAGCCTGTGCCCAGGAGCCACCGGTGGGTCTTGTTAAAATGCAGGTTCTGAATCCACAGCTCCGAGGCTGTCTTCCCAGCAAGTCTCACATGGTGTGATTTTGCTCTTTGCTATTCAGAGGAACACATCTTCAGAACAGCGAGAATCCTGCTCAGGTGTGTCAAGAGCAAGTGTGGGAAGTGTGGTCAAGACCCAATAAACCCTAACTACAACCCCGATAATTCTCCTTACCCCAGTCAAAAGGCGTCCCTAGGAGAACAGAGAAACTTCAGTTCACCTGAGAGTTCAAAGGGAAACAAGAAAAAACAAGCTGGCTTTCGAGGGTCCTAGACATGGGGAGCAAAGGGCGAGCGAGAGTCCCACAGCCATAAGCAGCTCCCACACGTGTTCCTAAGGCACCCCCACTGGCCGTCTGCAGAGCCCCCCGGGCCCAGGCCCCAACTCGCCATCTTGGGAACACATCAGCAGCACCAGGCACACGCCCTGTTCTGCCAGCTCCAGCTCTCCAGAGGAATTTTCAAAGCGCACAGGGTGTGTTTGGCAGGAATCTCTCAATACGCTCTGGGGGCTTTTGCTGTAAGGACGGGTATGTCTTTCCTGCTTGAGGCCTGAACACTGAGCTTCCCCCTTTGCTGGTACCACAAAGAGGCTCTGGACAGCCCGCTGCTGGTGACAGGCAAGGATGATTTGAGGAGACTCTAGGTGAGGCCAGCGAAGCCCAAACCCCCTTCCACACCCAAGCAATCTGCCTTTGGTTTCACCCTCCTAAAAATTCTTCTTTGCCACAGGCTGCTGACTCATCCAGGGTTGGGGTCTTTTTTTAACTCTTCTTTCTCTAGCTCAGAATTGCCACAAAGCCTAGAGATCGGGAAGTTGCTTTGATGAACACCTGGGTCCTTGTATGGGCTCATTTTTATCATCCCACCTCCATCCCAGTTTCCCTATGGCTCAGTCCTGCTGGGAGAGAGAGCTGGATACCCAGTTGCTGTGCCCTGGTTCTCACACCAAGTTTCTCTTCTTTGCAGGTCTCCACGCACCGGCTGCTCTGGGAATCCGGCTGCAAGATTCCCAGGATGTAAGCAACACGGAGCAGACACTGGTAAGTGATGCTGTGTTTGGCCGTGGTCACACATGGCCCAGGTTGATGTCAGGAACGGGTAGGAGCTGCATGGGAAAGGCATCCCTGCAACTGTGTTTCCATCCATGGGCACCTGGACACAGCACAGAGCCAAGCTTCCAGGTGCGAACCTCTCAAAAAAATCTGCTGGCTTCCTGCCAGGGCTTCCCTAGACGCCATGAGCCTGCAGGTGGCTGGCTCTCCCCTCTCTGTACAGATGACAGAAACTCAGACTTCCAGGCCAGGGGCATATTTTTAGAGTTATGTTCAGAAGAAAAAAAAATAATCTTAGAATGGAGTGCGTACTGCCTGGCTCAGCCAGTAGGCAAAGCCACCCTTGCACAGCGAAAGAATTAGCCCTGGTTGGAAGGAACAGATTGGCTGGAGGGGATACTGTCAATGCCTTGACCTAAGCAAAACTCCCTGACAAAAGAGATATGCACAAATGCAATGAAACACTCAGGTCAATAATGAGTCGCCCATCAGTGGCAGAGTTCAAGGAGAAGATGGACAAATGTCCACCAAAAAATATTGACTTGAGAAGTTTTGATAAAGCAGTGTTTTGCACTCTCTTCTGCGATGACCTAGAACCTTCAAGGGGCAGGATGTAGGAAGACGGTGAGGACTGAGGAGAAAACTGGAGGATAATGTCTCTGCTTCAGGCGGCCATTGCAGAGGCTGCTGAGTGAAATGACCTTGGGTCTCTCCTGTGCCCCAATGTGACTGCCTCATGTGGTACAGCCCTGATGCACACCTGTAATACTGAACGCCTGGTGAGCATGATGGGCAGAGAGTACTCAAAGCATCATGGGAGGCTTTCTGGGGGATGTTTCAGCCATCCCTCCTCCCATAACGCTTCCCAAGAATTTCCTGCTAGTCATACCTTCAGAGGATTTGCTCCAAGACCCTGATTGCACAGAGTAGAAGAAAAGGCCTAGGGAAGATGCAAAAATGACCACCCACCACCCAGTTTCCAAAACCCACAGGAGGCAGAGGTGGGACGGCCCAAGGATGTAGATGCCAGAGATATGAAGATGGCTTTATTCAGAGGCTTGAGTCCTTCAGCAGGGGCAAGACTTTTCCCACAAAGTCAGGTGACCAAACCCCTACCTGCTGGACAACAGAAAAATGGAGCTCTAGACCCAAATGAGGATATTAGGCAGGAGTGAGATCCAAGATGCAGGGCAAAATATAAGCGACCAGCTGCTGTGCCCTCAGGGTAGTGGCAGAAAGCATTCCCCAGGCCTAGAGTGGTGGTTCTCCGCCTTCCTGATGCTGTGCCCCTCTTAAACAGTCCCTCATGTTGGGGTGACCTCCGACTATAAAATTATTTTTGTTGCTACTTCATAACTGCAGTTTTGCTACCATTATGAACTGTAATGTAAGTATCTGATATTTCTGATGATCTCAGTCAACCCCTGTGGAAGGATCATTTGACCCCCAAAGGGGGTCCAGACCCACAGGTTGAGAACCACTAGACCTGGCGGGCAAAGCACTGTGGGGGCCGGGGGATGGCATTTTTCCTGTCTTGGAAACGACTGGCCTAGGTGAAGAGCCAGTGTTTGATAGAGGTTGTGTGCAGAGTATGTACTCAGCGGAGTCCTGGACACTATTTGAGGGCAGAAAGGGGAGCAGAAGGAAAGGGAAAGAGGAGGAAGGGGGCTGGACAGTGACCACGGGTCATGTCCCATGACATCCTTAAGAGTCTTCAAGCAGAAGCTGAGCTGTGAGGACAAATGTGTCCTTGCATGCACAGGCCCTGGCACATAGTAGGTGTTCAGGGAATGGCGGTCAAATAAAATGATGTCGAGGGAATTTAAGGATGTGCGCTGAAGGGAAGGGACCCTAGCGTAGACTGCCAGGTTCAAGCCCTGGCTCTCCACTAGCTTTGTGGCCTTGGGTAAGTTGCTGGGCTCTCTGTACTTCAGTCTCCCCATCTGCTAAATGGGGGCAGGACAAACCTGACCCTGTGGTCATAAAGATCCAGTGAGTGGTATGAAGCTGCCTGTTCCTGTGCTGGGCAGGACACAGCAAGGATCTGGTTGCTATTATGCTCACTGAGGGTGTCATGTGGGCTAGAGGTGAAGCAGGAGCTGTAGTCAGAGGCTTGTTCTTATCATGTCACCTGACTTTCGCTACAGCTAATAGAGGCCCTGAGAGGACTGCATTCGTCTCCTCCAAGGGTGGCACTCCCGGTGACCTAATGACCTTCCATTAGGCCACGCCTCTTAAAAGCCCCACCCATCAGCACCCCAACCCTAGAGGCCAGCCTTCTAGCATATGACCATTTGGTGGCTACCCTCACAAACCAGACGATGGTGTATGACCACCATCTGGCCCCTTCCAAGAAAGAGCCTGAGCAGTGATCAGGGCCCACCGGGTTCTCTCAACTATGAATGCACCTTTGAAATCATCCTTCAGTGGTGACTTCAATGACCTTTGCCGCCAGAGCTGTGATGCCCATGGCAGCCACGAGCCAGCGGTGGTGGTAAAGTGGGTGGTTAGGATTGGAAGGGCATTGTCTTGAATCTCTCACCCGTCCACGGACGTAAAGCCAGCACAGCTGTGGTCCTCCAACGTATGTGGGAGTACAGGTTTTGGGGGACAGGCCACTCTTCACGGTAAACAGAGCTGAGATTGACCCCAGCAGCCTGGTTCTGATCTATTTTCCTTTGCCTCCCCACGGTGGCCGCCATTAGCTCCCTGTGGGCAAAAGAAGTCCTGCCCCCGCCCCCTGATTTGCTTTCCTATCTCTTTTCCCGCCAACTTTCTGACAAAACTCCTTTCCACTGTAAAAGGGCGAATGAAACACAGATCTGTCATAAACAGCTCTGACCTAAACAGCTAGAGTGTCGATTCCGCCGTCCATTCCTTTGTCCATCTGTCCATCCATCCATCTATCCACCCACCCACACATCCAACAAGCACAGCTCAGCCCCAGGACCTCATGAGAGCCTGCATCTCTGGCACCGACAGCCGCACACTCCAGGCTCCTGGATCCTCCAGAGCCATCGTCACCAGACAGCTCAAAGGGACGCTCACTGCACAGTGCAAAGCACTTGATTAATACGCTGCAATTTGGGCAGCGCTAGGCTGTTCCAGCACCCCCACCCAACTCTGTTACCATGACGACATTATTTTAACAAACAGCTCTTTAATATTTAATGAAAATTACACTCTGACAGGCGGGCAAGGACGACGGCACCACAGAGGGCTTAGAGGGGTCCATAAGGACATCTTTGCACAAAGCCATCAGTCCCCAGATCCCTGTACGCTGTGTGTCAACCAGAAAATGTGGGTGTTCTAGGGCCAGGAGCCACGGTGAGGCCAGACATGGGTTATGCATGGCAATTGAAGGTTGTCACTGTTTTTAAATGCAGGGTATCACAACGGCTCCTTGAGGACAAGGGTAGCATGATAGCATTATTGAATCCTGCTTTCTACACCAAGCTGCTGACCCACCCCCTAGCTCATCTGAGGCTGCTGAGAGCCTTTCTGCTTCCCATGTCCCAAGTCAAAACTGGATTGTAAGACAGCGTGTGCAAAGCCCGGAGTGTGCACGCCAGGCTGAGAATCAGCCTTGGCCTCCTCGTCAAAGCACCATCTGTCTGACCCAGTTGATTCAGTAGCAGCAGGTGCAGAGATTAGGCGATCCAGACCCCTGCCTCCAAGGGGTGTGTCAAGAGAGAAAAAACCAGGCTCTGGCCACCTCCATCACTACGTTAGTCTGTGTGCCAGGCACTGTACTAAGCTCCTATTACAGTCTAGATTCACAATGAGAAAGACGGATGAGTAACTAAAACGGAGAGAACAATGTAGTGGCTTCATTGCTGTATGTTCTTGGGTAAGTTCTCTAAATTCTCTGTGCCTCAGTTTTCTCATCCATGAAGTGGGAATGCAGCACTGTCTTCACTGAGAGTTGCCATGAGGCAATAAACACATGAGAAGACCTAGGGTGGGAAAAAGAGTATTTGAAACAGTGTGAGATGCCAAGCAGAAAATTAATGCGAAATAGGACCTCCTTTTCCATGTTACCAAGAATACAATTATAGGATCTAGCATGTACCAAATGCTTCCTCTGCTCCAACCCCAAGGCTGAGCTGGAGTCATACGATAATCTCATTAAAATTTCACAGGCAAGTCTGTGAGACTATATCATCATCATTGCCCTCACTTTGCAAATGAGGAAAGTGGAGTGATATGGAGTCACAGGACCTCTAGATGAGGTCTTAAGAACCGCCTAGGTAAGTGGCCATAGGTACCATGGGAGCCATGCATGTCCACAGACAGGGTGGGACTCAAGCATGGAAGAGCAATATGAGGAGGAGCCCGTGGCAGCAGATATGGGCTGCAGTTTAAGAGGAAGCGTGGTCTGGCTTGACTGTTAAAGAGGCAGATTCTTGGCACCAGCAGGAAGCTTGTCTTAAACAAATACGACCTGTTTATTTGGAGTATTCATTGGATTTTTATTAAAATAAATGGGTTGGGAGAGGAAGAGGGAGGCAGAAGGGAGGGTATAAAACTTGTAGCTTTCTATTCTGTCCTCTTCAAGATTTCATTGAGTGGAACACCACAAGAATATCTGTATGGTGTGTGTGTGTGTGTGTGTGTGTGTGTGTGTGTGTGTGTGTGTAAAGTAACAGCTCCTGCCAGTTGCTTTCCAGAGCAAAGAGACAAGCAGAGAGAGCAAAGTTTAAATTGTGCAACGAATTTGAAGTCATAAAGTTATAGCACGCTCTAGTTTTTAAAATCCCTTCTCTGGCCATTTTGGTTATTTATTACCATGGTAGTGCTTTGTAACAAACAACCCCATAAGCCTCATGGGAGGACATGTTTCGTCAGCTCCCAAATCTGAAGTGTACAATCCATGGCCTCTCTGGGATGAGATGGCTTCCATAGTTGAGGTCAGTTTAGGGGACTGTGGTCTTGGCTACCCGTGTCATTGAACACTGACTGTGTGCTGCTTGACCTAGGGTGACCTC